ACCTACACAAGAAGTACAGATAGACATTTTATCATATTAACTTTCTTCTTGCCCAGTCTTTTTTTTTTTTTTGTGAGAGAGAGAGAGAGAGAGAGGAGAAGCAGAGGGAGAGAGAATCTTAAGCAGGCTCTATGCCCAGCGCGGAGGCCGACTCCAGGCTTGATCTCCCCACCCTGAGATCACGACCGGGGTGGAAACCAAAAGTTGGATGCTTAACCGACTAAGCCACCCAGAGGCCCCTGCACAGTTAAGAATCAATACTACTGGGGCGCCTGAGTGGCTCACAACAAACAAACAGATGAGGATAACCTAAGGAGTAAAAGTAACAGACACAGATAAAATGAAACTAAATGTTTTATAATTGCAAAAAAGAAAAAAATTTATCAACTCCAAAACAGTTAAGATAGCTAAACAAAAATAAGCAGAATAAAAATAAAGCTATGAGTCAAAATTACCAATACAATTACTTCCAAAATAATCCAATATACTTTTAAATTTGGCTTTAATCAATAACAGATACATATAATCTCAGTTATAAAATAACACTTAATATTCAAAGGACACAAGCAGAAATTGTTATCAATCTTAAAAATAAATATTCTTACCGGTAGAAACTGATCTGTTCTAAATTCAAAATCATCAACAGGTAGAGAGTATAGTTAAGGAATAGTGAGAATATATGAGATATATCCAAATAAAACATGTCTAAAAACCAAATATATAAGCCATTCAAAAACTACATTTTAAACTAACAAATTTTACAAAAAACTAATAATTTAAATGTGTTGCTAAAATTCTTCACAATGCAAAACAAAAAACAAAAAAAATAAAATTCTTCACAATGAAGTATTTTTTTAAAAAAAGATTTTATTTATTTGAGAGAAAGCACAAGTAGGGGGAGGGGCAGAGGGAGAGGGAGACAAATAGACGCCCCGCTGAGCAGGGAACCCAATGCGGGGCTCCATCCCAGGACCTTGGGATCATGATCTGAGCTGAAGGCAGATGCTTAACTGACTGAGCCACCAAGGCACTCATGAAGCATATATTTTTTAAGACTTTATTTTTAAGTAATCTCCACAGCCAACATGGGGCTCGAACTCACAACCCCAAGATCAAGAGTCGCGTGCTCTTTACCGACTGAGTCAGCCAGGTGCCCCATCACAAAGAAGTATTTTTAAATTCTTTAAAGGATATTTAACTTCAGTGTTGTAGCTGTTTCAATACGGACCTAAAAAAAAAGTACATTATTAGTTTTTAATAATTCTAGAGCTACTAAATATCACTAATAGCAAGTGGCCAAAGAATTTATTCCAAATCACTTTCTTTACTCTTTTTGTTAATATTTAAGCCACAGAGCAAATTATCATCTGGGAATAAAAGAATATTCCTCTTACTTTACAAGAAGAGTTGAAAAGAAAAAGTAAAAAGTCCCATCCTTCTCAGTTCCCCATAATTTATTTCAGGAGACTTTAATCCAGGGGGTGCTTCCAGGAAAAAAATAATTTGCCAGAAGTGTGTAAAGAGGGTGGGACTGAGAGAACAGTACGAAGGGGGTGCCACAGGGAAAGAGAAGGCTGAGATCAGACAGGACAGACAGGCAAATGGGGTGGGGCCGGTGAAGCTGGAAGATGTTCAGTGTGAAGAGTGAGGGAGGAGAAAAGCAGTAAGAGGAGGGAAGAGGAGGAGGAAGAACACACATTCCCATCTGCAACCTCCATTACAGGAAATCCTTGAACTATCCAAAGATATATTCCAAGATTTTCTAAATCCCAAAGTTCACAAATACATAAAGATTTGTACAAGCTCCTGACCTTCCCAAATCTTATTTTCTTCGTTTATCGGCATGTTCCCTGGGCAAATCACATCAGGACATCTTAATCTCCCCATTATTTTCTTTCAAGTGTTACCTGTGATTTGGTCAGCTCAACTGGAACAGGCTACCATATCCAGAGTTTCCACGAAAAGTAACATGAACTCAAGTCATGACTAAGTCTATATTCTACTCTGTAAACAATATACCCAAAACATTCTCATTTCCCAGCTAAGAGTCATTACTTTCTTAGATGCTACACTTACTGTACCTGAAATAGCCACTGGCTTTTTCTCGGCAGCCATTTTTCAAAGAAACAGTTTTCACCATTTTACAGGAGCTTCTGAAGTTCTGAGAGGCTGATTAGGCATGTTCACCAAATGTTAAGCACTCTAGTGTCAAATCCACAGATCCAAGAGCCTACAGTGCAGATGTTTTCTTGCCTGCCTTTACTTTTTATTCACTATCTCTAAAGGCAATGTGAACATTTTCAGACTTTTAAATGATGTAACAAATTTGCTGATTGTCTAATACGTGCAAAGCACCATGCCAAGCGGTCTACCACAAAATGACCTAAGGAAAACAAGGTATACTTGTGTGATTAAAACTATTCAATAAGGAACTATTATCTCCTAGGCAATGTGTTGGATGCTGCAGAAAAAAGCTTTAAGAAAGATGTAGTCTTTGCCCTCAGAGAACTTACATTCTTGAAGGATACCAGACACCCAGATATTAAATAATTATCAATAAAAATGTCAAACTTGAAAAGCTTAAGAACAGGATAATCCCCTTGAGGACATGGACTGGCCGGTCATCTTTAAATTGTCGTCATTTAGGGGCACCTGGGTGGCTCAGTCGTTGAGCGTCTGCCTTCGGCTCAGGTCATGATCCCAGGGTCCTGGGATCGAGCCCCGCATCGGGGAGAGCCTGCTTCTCCCTCTCCCTCTGCCCCTCCCTCTGCTTGTGTTCCCTCTCTCACTGTGTCTCTGTCAAATAAATAAAATCTTTTAAAAAAATAAAAATAAGTAAAAAAATAAACTGTCAACATCTAGTACAGTGGGAGGCATACAGCCGGCACTGTGTAAATAATTAAATTCACAGACAACAGGATATAAAAGCCCCCAAAAAGAAAAATGGTAATCAAACTGCCAGCACTCTAACATTTAATTCTCTTGATTTTTTTTCCACAAAAGGACCACAGATGCACCTAACTCATACCCCTGACATCTACACAAGTACAGGAACCAAAAGAGGCATCGGAATAAACACTAGCTGTGTTTTCCTACCTAACAAAGGGAAGTCAGTGTAGTATTAACATTGAGAGGAAGAGATGAAATGGTATGAGATGACTTGCCTGCACTCTAGTTTAACTCCAAAAACAGGAAGCCAAATTAGGAGGGAAAACAAAAAGCCCACAAAGTTTAAGAAAACAGAGGCACACTTAAAATATGAACAAAATAAGAACAAAATTAGCCATTCCTGAGCTATAAGAGAAAGAGGAAGTAATTACCACAGAGATAGTATGAATTTCACAGTGATTCATAAGTAATGGGGAAAAAGTCAAAACCCAAATTTGTGGAATAAAGAGCTACGGAATGTGACAGAAGTAGAAAAGATCTAACAATTCCTAGGACACTAATTGTTCAGTAAATACTTGCTAGTGAATACGAGAAAAGAAAAGAAAACAAAGTATTCTAAACATGACTTTTCATAGACTAAATCCCTCTGAAAGAGAATTAAATCCCAAGTATCCAGAAATGGATCCAGACTGCGTGAACTCAGCCTACGAGTCTATCCTAACTCCCGCTGAAGTCTCAGAAAACTCCTGAAAATTTAACAAGCTAATTCCTTTACTGGGGCAAAGAAGTACCATCAAAGTATAAGAAACATTGGAGGGATGCAAGAAAGCATGAGAACAAAGGAGAAATGAAAGAGAAGACACCAGAGGTCAGCCCTACTGCCAAAGAGGATTGCTATAAAAGAAAAAATAATCAGATACTTACATGCCCTGCTTCAGTAACAATGACCCTTGGAAGAACTGTCAAAATGACTAATCTGAATTCCACACTTGAACTAGCTCAATGCCTCACCGCTTCCACAGCCTGCCCGTACAGTAAAGGCCATCCACACACTAATACAGCCTGGTGCAGGGGCCAGAAAGAAATGGCAGTGTCTCAGGGACTGAAGACCACCAGGAAAATGTAAATAAAGTTAAGAGGAAAGAATAAAGTAATATGCTAAAGAGAAACAGTATAATGATTTCATAACATAACTATTTAAGAGAGCCCTCCTCATTCCTGGATTCTCTTTATCCCAATCTCCCAATTCTTTCAATAAACATTATTTAAGGCTTGACTCCATGCTAGGCATAATGGATACTAACATAAGAAATATTACCCTACACATCTGTACTATTACTACTTGCTACCAGTATGCTAATTTTTTTGCTCTCCTCCACCATAAAGTCAAAATCATTCTATTATACTACTTGATGTATTTCTCCTGAAATACATGTGTAAAGTAAGTTTCCTGAAAGGATAAAAATCATGTTCAATTTATTCATCTCCTTTTAAGAAAAAAAATTCTAAAGCTCATTTTACTTTAAAAAATTGAGATATAACTGACATATAACATTGTATTAGTTTCAGGTTAAAGCTCATTTTCATATATTCTAAGCACCAGACATACCAGTGTAAACCTAAAACTGACTACAGGAAACTTACTCAAGTTTCCTTTCTTCTGGTTTTAGAGTGGCCTAATAATATGATGTCTCAAACACAGATTTTTGTTGATATTTCCTTTGGAAATTATATTTACTGAATGTAACTGAAAATTCATTCTGTGAAGACACAGACTACCCCCCGAGTTTAAAATCTATAGCAGTGTTTTTGAGACACAAATAATGGACAAACAAAAAAACAAAATCAAAATGGTAAGACAGAATGAGTGGCAGAAATGGGAGACCCATGAAAGGCGCAAGAATGGAAAAAATTTCAATGCACCCTTAAAATACGTCTGCCCAATCCCAGCTGTACCTCCCACTGTACACTCAGGGTTTGCTGCAGTTCTGTACATGCCACTAAAAACACCATTAACTGCCTTTCCATCTTGAAAATTCGCTGTTTCTACAGTGGTAGTCAGCCTGCCGATAAAAATGTCCACTTCTTTGCTTGAGAGACAACCCCACCACCTTACTTCCAAACTATAAATCTTCCGGTTGCACCAAAATTCACATTACATACAGCCTTTTATAAGGGTGTAAGAGTATGCCAATGCTAATTCTTTAGTAGCTTACTGCTCATGGTATTGAAGGCTGCATAAATAACTGAAGTTAAACTTGCAAAAAAAAATTTGTAATTTCCAAAATTTAAAGACACAACTGGCTCAAAGGCCTTAAAAATCAAAAAAGCCTAGTATATTAATCAAATATTCTGGTTAGCAATCATCTGGGGTAGTACAAAAAGAAGGTTCTCCTCACCTAAAATTGAGTCACTCTAATTCACTATAGTGAATAGCACTACAGTAATAGCATAGTGTATACCACTGTTGTCCTTATAAAAAAATAACAAAAATGGAACCACAGTTCCTATCACATTCAAAAATAAATTCTAGATAAAGAACCAAGGGTAAAGAAATGGATTAAACAACGAACAAAAAGAAAACAGAAATCTGATTGCACTAAAATTAAAAACCTTTGCTCAATAAAAACACAACAGAATGAGAGTGGAAAGACAGAGATTCAACTGCATTTGGAAGGCTTTACTTCTTAAATATTTGAAATATGTATGGAAAATTATTACAAAGAAAATATGGACACTGGGGAGCAAGGATATAGGTGCTTGTTATGTTAGTCACTGAATTTTTCCTTTTCTTTGATTTAATTCTTTTTTTTTTTTTAAGACTGTATTTATTTGACAGAGAGAGACACAGCGAGAGAGGGAACACAAGCAGGGGGAGTGGGAGAGGGAGAAGCAGGCTTCCCGCTGAGCATGGAGCCCAATGTGGGGCTCAATCTCAGGACCCTGGGATCATAACCTGAGCCAAAGGCAGACGCTTAACAGCTGAGCCACCCAGGCATCCCTGGCCTCTGTATTCTAAGATTTATGGGGCCCTATACTATCTGAAGAAGCTGCTTTCTCCAGTTGCTGCACTATTTCTACTCTGTCATAGCCAGTCTTAAAATTAATATGGCCATGAGATTTGGAAGCCACACAGACAACCACAGTTGCTCAAGATTAAATCTATCCCAACTCCGAAACAGCAATACTCAAGCAAGAGAATACAGATTCTGAAAGCCAGAGAACATTCTGATCCATCAATATCTACCTACCTATCCACACATGCACATGTACATGTATGTATATATGTATGTTTGTACCCTGCTGTCTACGTATGTGTATAAAGTATCTTCCGTCATTAGCCAGCATTTCTTACAAGTTGAAATAAAAGTAGTATATCCTATATATATCAAAAGGCTAAAGTGTGCAACATTAACTTGGTACCTTACTAAACACAGTCTTTTGTTTGTCTGTTTACTTTAAAGCTGAGAAGTTTTTTTTTTTTGATGTAGTGTTCCATGATTCATTGTTTGCATATAACACCCAGTGCTCCATGCAGTACGTGCCCTCCTTAATACCCATCACCAGGCTAACCCATGCCCCCAACCCCCTCCCCTCTAGAACCCTCAGTTTTGTTTCTCAGAGTCCACAGTCTCTCATGGTTCGTCTCCCCCTCCGATTCCCCCCCTTCATTTTTCCCTTCCTACTATCTTTTTTTTTTTTTTAACATAAAATGTATTATTTGTTTCAGAGGTACAGGTCTGTAATTCATCAGTCTCACACAATTCACAGCGCTCACCACAGCACATACCCTCCCCCAATGTCTATCACCCAGCCACCCCATTCCTCCCACCCCCCACCACTCCAGCAACCCTCAGTTTGTTTCCTGAGATTAAGAATTCCTCATATCAACGAGATCATATGATACATGTCTTTCTCTGATTGACTTATTTGCTTAGTATAATACCCTCTAGTACCATCCACATTGTTGGAAATGGCAAGATTTCGGTTTTTTGATGGCTGCACAATATTCCACTGTATATATATACCACATCTTCTTTATCTATTCATCTGTCGATGGACATCCTGGCTCTTTCCATGGTTTGGTTATTGTGGACATTGCTGCGATAAACAATGGGGTGCACATACCCCTTAGGATCACTACATTTGTATCTGTGGGGTAAATACCCAGTAGTGCAGCCTGCTGGGTCATAACGGTAGCTCTATTTTCAACTTTTTGAGGAACCTCCATACTCTTTTCCAGAGTGGCTGCAACAGCTTGCATTCCCACCAACAGTCTTACTAAACACAGTCTTAAGAAGTTAGTAACAAAATAACGGTGGCAGGATAAAACAACTGTAGAAGATGTAAAAATGAGAGGAAATCACCGGAAGATATACAGGAAAAGGGCAAGAGCTGAATCTACAGCAGCATTTCCTCTAAGTCTATCTCTTGGATATTACTTTATTGTCATCTTGGATAGTCACAATGCAGATGTACATTTTAAAGGTTCTGATCAGTCCTAAAGTAAAGAGGACTACTGGAATATTTAGCCCAGTGTTTTCCAAATTACCTGGCCATGAAACCCTTTTGCTCCAGTAATACTTGCTCATATATGATTAATGATCCACTTTTAAAGTGCAGAACTAAATAGCTCATTTTTCTCTTTATTTCTCTCTGAATGGATTCATTAAAAATGAGTACAAGATCCAAAAAATTTCTCTCATTTCCCAAAGAAAACTTAGCTGAAATTTAATCCTTTTGTAACACTTCCATAAAACATTTAATGTCTTCTCTCTGATACCTCTGAAAGAAGAGTAAATAATGTTTCCAAATGAGAAAACAAAAATTTAAAACTTGTATTTTATTTTAAAGCTATTACAAATGTAAACTCAATCCAGCAAATAATAATCTCAGAAACAGCTAGGCTTTATTAATAAATTTCTAAGAATTTAAACATGGTAAAATAAAACTGGATTCCCTTGTAACTACCCATGTTTAAAATATTTAATAATTACAGCATGATATTTAGAGTAAATTCTCAATTATTTACACAAAGTAGATAATGCTTAAGTAAAAAATCCAAAGATCAGTTCTATTTGCCTTTGGAATATACTGAGCTTCTATACTAGGTTTACCTTTCTAATTATGTTTTCCTTCACTGAATATTAAAAGTAGTTTGTTATCATGGTACACATGTGAAAACGAGAACAGTATGGCCCAAGCCTTTGCTGAAAAACAGGGTTACCGGATGCGTTCAAAAATTTTTTAAAAGGAGTATACCAAGAAATGATTAAACAAGAAATTAGCTTAATTCGGGGGGGGTGAGAAATCACTTAATTTTATGTAAAAATAATTTGAAACTCAGGAAAAGACAACTAAACTCAATCTTTCCAAGACTATGCTGGAATCAGATCTAAGCCCAGGACAAACAAAATGTATAGTAAGTCATGAATATATTCACTCGAGCATAAAATAAAGCACGGGGGGGGGGGAGACTACTCTACACAACAACGGGGAACTTCTTAAAAAACAAACAAACAAATAAAAAGAACTCTTAAAGTAACTGACCTAAATATTACAGCAGCAAACATACTTTTGAGGGAATAAAGCAACAAAGAAACCATTATCAAGTTTTCAGTAACAAAAAAAAAAATCAAGAATAATATATCAACACTATAAATAAAAAGTCTGAAAGGAAACAATTCTAAAAGCAAAGCTAAAAAAAACACAAATACACACCGAAAAACCCTCCAAAAATGAGAGACAAAGAATCAACAACAGTAAGGATGAAAGTGATTATGGCATAACCCCAAATGTGAGAACATAAAATCTATCCTGAATTAAGGAAAAAAAACAAGTAGGCTACAAAAGGATCTTAAAACAGTGTCTTCTTTTATTCTCACTAAAAAATTATAAATTTTAGAAAGGTAGAGTTTACTTAATTTTTTTCACTGATTACTGATGGGAAGGGCAAATAGTAATCAAGGGACTTCCTTCCTTCGAATCAAACTGCTCACACCAAGGAACAGCTACAACAGTGAAAGGCCACCAATGTTTTGAAGATATAAAAACCATGTCTGATTTTGAAGTTTAACATAGGTTAAACTCATTTAAAAAAAAAGTCTTAAAACACTGAAGGAACGTACCACTAAGTCTTGATCTTGAAGCAAATTACAAATTGCCTCATATAACATGGGTCTTAAGTCAGACTTGAATTTCACAGAAATCCACTGACCGATGAGCCAAATCACCCTGCGTCGCAATGGCTTATACCTGGATAAGGAAAAATTGTGAAATTTAAATGATAAATATTTTACAAAGCCTATTTCATTTATTTCATCCTTTAAATTTTAAATATAGTAAAGAAGCAATCTGTATTTTTTATATAAAAGCATAAAAGCTACTTCTAAACATACCACAGTATAAATACTAACAATAAAAGTTCTGATCTACAAAAATTGAAAATTCATAGGCAGATATATTGCAAATCTAATTACTTTAAAGAACTGTAACATAAATATGTACATAAAAACAAGTCCATTTCTGTTCCTCAAGTAACCAAAAAGAGTTAATCTGAAACGGCATAAGTAGCTAATGTCCCAAACCTAAGGCTGAAGAGGCCCTAAAAAAGTAGTAATAAAGGAATTCCTGTATTCAATTTTCCAAATCCAATTCTGTTTATCTTACAAAGATTGTTTTCCAGAACACTATGAGAGATTTCTATATTTACATAAAATACTCAGTAAATAATAAATAAAATACTCAGGTTTCTACACTGATTTTAGGTAAATTACTCCAGTTTTTTAAGAAGTGCCCTACTACAGAATGTGACTCATTATCAAAATAATGTTTTACTTTTTAAAAGCTGTAAAACATTTGCAGTAACATGTATACACATTTCTTTCTCTATGACCATCTTTGCTAAAGGCAATGAAGTTTCTTTAGGCAAGGAGAAAAACCATAAAGCTATAAACGACTATGTATAAGAATTCCACCCACAAAGTCTCTTCTTGATACTATATAAATTTTAGTAGTGAGATGATAACTGTTTCAGGGTATAAATGGAATAAGCTAATGAATATGCCACATATTTTAGGAAATTACAACCTTGTAACATGATCAAGCATAAAGAATTGCTCATTAAAGATGCAAAAAAATGTGTTTCAGTACTCCCTGCCCTCAAAGTTTATCTCACCTAAAATTATTAAAGAATGCAAAGTTATATAATAGGATTTCAGAAAAGGGATAGAAAAGAATGGGTACTAAGAAATGGGATTTGAACGGCCTTTAAGATAAACAGTATTTTGGGCAGAAAACTGAAAAAATACCATTTCAAGGAACAGGGACTGTTTAAACAAAGTCACAGAGGTGCAAGTAAACAAGACTTGTGTACACAGTGTAGTGGAGAACCCACAGAACTATCAGTTCTGAACCGAGATCTCTGAGACTGCTACATTCAACATTCCACTCCAGATAAAGAGAACGAAACTCAGAAAGGTCAAATCTTAAATTCACTTAGATCACAGTCACTTCTAAAATTAGAGGATAGTTTGTTCCTCAAAATGTGCTCCCTGGGGCGCCTGGGTGGCTCAGTTGGTTAAGCAACAGCCTTCGGCTCAGGTCATGATCCTGGAGTCCCGGGATCAAGTCCCACATCGGGCTCCCTGCTCAGCAGGGAGTCTGCTTCTCCCTCTGACCCTCACCCCTCTCATGTGCTCTCTCCCTCTCATTCTCTCGCTCTCAAATAAATAAATAAAATCTTTAAAAAAAAAAAAATGTGCTCCCTGGACCAGCAGCATCATCTCCTGGAAGCATGATGAAATCACACAGTCTGACCCAGACCTTAACACATAACCTAAATCAGAACGTGTATCTTAACAAGATCGCCAAGAGATTCATATGCACATTAAACTTTGAGAAATACTGGTCTAGATCAGCTTGGTCCAGAAGAAACGTAAGGCAAGCCAAATATGCAATTTTAAATCTGTTAGTACCCACATTAAAATAAATAAAAAGCAGGTGAAATTTTAACATTTTTATTTATCTCCGTAGATGCAAAATATTACCATTTCAACATGGAATCAATACGTATTTTACACTCTTCAGTTTTTCGATTTAAATTTTAGTTAAAATTAAAGTCATTTCCTCAGTTGCACTAGGTTCAATTCAAGCACTCAACAGCCATATACAGCAGCTACTGTACTGGATAACACAGATTGAGAGTAAATAGCCTCCAGGGTTTAAGGACAGTCAAACCACACAGTGTGTTCCCACTAAAGGCACATGTAGCTACCTAATGAAGGTCTTCTCTACATCAAAGGCTCTCTAGCTTACTTCTGGCAGAGTCACAGCCCATCGTTTACCACAGACTTTATAGGACATGGCAAATTCGCGGCCACTGAAAATATTCGCTGACTGAATAGGTAAATAGCTATTTACTAGTCAAAAATATTTTCTTCGTTTCCTTCTTTTTTTTTAATTTCAAGTTTTTATTTAAATTCTACTCAATTAACATATAGTGTAATATTGGTTTTGGAGGGGTCAAAATTACTTTTAAATCATCTCCAACTCTACAATTCCCCAGCTCTCAAGATTTATATAGAAGCCTTCTAGTCATTCATTAACGCAGTCAAAAAAATGTTACCTGATCTATGACTACATGCTAGGCATTCTGATAGGCACCATATCTACAGAAATAAATCAACAGAAATGCACAATTCAAAACAAGAACAAAGCCTCTTGGAATTTTTAAGTCTCTAATTCTAAACTAAGAAAAAAATTATAAAAACTCTGAAAGACCTTTACCCTTCCGTTTCATCCGTTCAGTACCTAAAATTAGTCAAGTGCCTAAAAGTATATGAAACATGAGAATTCTAAACATCAGGTAGCTCTGTACTACTGAATGGGGCAACCCAATACAAGCCTAAAGTGCATCCAAATGCTTTCTGCCATGGTGTCTCTCCATCCTATCTACCCTCTCCCAGACTTGCAGTATGCTATGTGTGATCCCAAGGCATTGTCAGTCACCCTTCACAGCTACTATTTGTGTTTGACTACTTCTTATACCAGGCCTAGCACCGGCTAAGTCTCCAACTGGCTTTCTTGTGTACACAATTTTTTTCTAGAATCCAGGTATCTCCATATTTCCCTTACCTTTGTATAAAATTTCCTCCTGCAAACTATCTTACCTAACATCAAATACTTCATACATGTTACAATTCACATTTGAAGTAAAAAAAAAAATAACCAACTTTATTTTTCAACTCTAAGAGACACAAGTCTTATTCTACACTAGATATGATCAGCTAAGTCATACTATAACTTTTTTAAAATTTTAAGCAATTTTAATGTCTTCCTATCTTCATCACAAAATTAATAAGGTAAATTAAGTGTATTATTAACACAAAGTTTCATACTTGCCTATTATGAATGACTTGTAATTCTGGAAGAAGTTGGTTTTTAAACCACTGATCAAAATCAACACTGTCAAACAGCTCATAAGCCGCTAATCCAACAGCATTATACACTACAAAGAAGATTTGAGAAAAAAAATTTAAATTTCAGATGCTGGGCCCAATGTTAAGTGTCTTATATAAGAAACTAATCCTTAGGGACTACTTTAAAACATGTAATATGCTAATAAAGAGAAATTTACAATGTTAATCAAAGACATTATTTAAACAGACACTGTAGATTCATTATTTTACTTTACACTTTTTCCTAAATACTCCTTAGTGCTTTCAAACAGAAAGCTACATTCATTTAAACATATTCGAGTCAAATTATAAAAATTATAAAATAACATCTGCTTCTAAATGGACACAATATTTTATGATCTGGTCTTTACCTACCTCTCTCCAGCCTCATCTCTCACCACAACCCTTTACACTCTATGTTCCAATTAAACCAAACTACTCCCAGTTCAAAACTTAATTGTGCTTGCTCCTCTTCCCTTCAAATTTTTGTAAATACTGCTCCCTCTGCATGGAACTCTCTTCTCACATAGCCCCTCCCCTTGTTAACTCCCACTGATCCTGGTGTTCTCACATTATACTTCTTTAGGAGCCTTTCCCTACGCACACCCACACTACCTTGTGGTTTTCCAGTGGACTACCTAATTGCCACCTACTTTAACATTAATCACTGGTACTATGCTATAACCAATTGTCTGCTTACTTAGCTATCTCCCCCACCAGACAGTTCCTATATTTTAGGTATCCCTGTATCCCAATCTTCCAGCCTAACACCTGCCACAAAGCAGACATCCCAAACATTTATTACTGAAGAAGTAATATTTCTAAATCGGTTTAGTTTAACATACCAGCATCTTTAATTAATAGTGCATTCATATCTTCCACATTAGTGGGTCCTGAAAACATAAGTATCAGCAAAGGTAAATAAAACTAGTTTTTAAAAGATATTTTATTTCAACTCAATTTACTAGTTTATCATTTCAGTTTAGCATAATAAATTTCATGACATTAAATATACATATAGGTATAAAGGGAAAGTCTTGATTATGTTATCATCACCATTAGAGAGCACAGGTACAAAATGTAAAGCCATATTACAATTTTAAAAATCATTATAACATATTTGAAAAATGTCACGTCAAGCAACAATCCAAACAAATACATGCCACAGATTGCTAACTAGTGTATAATACCTTATATACCCAGATTTAAAAGAGAACTCGTAAAAGAAAAAATAAAAAGATGTATCCCTCAAAAGAAAAACAAACCAACAAAAAAGAAAAAGCATAGGCCATTCACACAAGAAGCTCTGAACATAACAAACAAACTAGGTCATGACAGTACATTAAAGGATGGGAACAAAAGAAAAAGTGCAGACAGAAAGTGAGAGCCATCATGTCAGGTGGAAACTTCTGAATAAAAAGTTGGCAGTCTCCTACCACTGTCCAGAAAGGAGAGTATCATGGTTAAGCCATGAAAAATACAGTTTCCTTAGTAAGTCTATTTCTCTAGAATAGAAAGATTTCTAGCAAGTTTATCAGAGCATTCTTCTGCTGTGAATTTTTAAGCTCACTACTTTAAGAAGCTGGAATAAGTACAGCCTTAAATAAGCCAACTGCTCCACAACTGGAAAGATAACTAAACTCTGAAACCACTGACATCCTTACCACCACACAACTTATCAGAGTGTAACCTAAAGAGCTTATCCACTTTTCTACAGTGGTTTAAAAAAATAATAATAAATAGAAGAAAATGGAAATGATGCTCTAAGCTCAAAAGAAAAAGTAACTGAAGCAGTACAAATATAACCAACTTTAAGAATCAGTAATCCTATATTAAGAAATTAATAAATAACTGTAACTTAGAAATCAATCCATATGAAAATACAAGTTAACACTAAAATTATCTTCACAGATGAACAAAGTAAAACCTGACAGTTGTTTCCCTTGGTTTATAATTTAAGAACATTCTTTAGGTTTTTCAGAGAACAAAAGCCTGAAAAGTGAGCTGCCCGCTCACTACCACAAACAAGATCAGGCATCTCCTGCCCTACAGAGGCTGCTCTTGCTATTATTTTCTTATATCATCACCTGCTCAATCCCTGGTCCCTTACTATGTAATTTCTGCCCCAACATTTCAAATAATCCATTGTCTCAGAAGTTTCCCCGGCCTTCTGCCTCTTCCATCACTGGACACTTCTAATAATGTGCTCTTCTCTCCAGGATTCACTCCCATATTGTTCCTCACACCGCTGCAAGAGTTTGTGACCTGGCTTTTCTGCAGGACCTTCATCTTTTCATATGCCTGAAGGTGAAAATCTTGGGTTCTCTCCTTGAAGTTGCTTTTGTCTCCCAAGGCCCTTTACACACACACTCTAAAAGTAAAACTCTATCTCCAACCACTACTAATAACAGCCTCCCTGTCATTAAGACTCAAGTTCAGGATCATGTCTGTCACTCTCCCTTGCCCAGCAGTCAGTCAGTCACCAAAAGTCAATCAACAAACAGTTACTGAAAGTACCAGACACTGGAAATAATGTGTGAACAAAACAGATGTGATCACTGCCCCTCTTCCTGGATTTTACAATATAGCAGAAAAGTCAGAAATGATAAATTGCAGTTGATATTACTGATGCACAATCTGCAATTAGCAATCAAGTACCAGAAAGTTCACACCATCATTCTCTCTCTTAAATCCATTATCTTCTTTCCATTCCCACTGCCACCATCCTGAGCCTAACATTTGTCATTTTGACCTTTTCTCCCACTACTTTCACAACACACTCCAGGTAGACCACTTCTCCACGCAATATACCTGATGGCCTACTATTTTGCTTATGCTGCTAGTTTGCTTACGAGAGCAAAATCCAACTATCATGTTCAATGCCTATCTCAAGGCCGCCTTTGTCAGTTGCCCATTCTTGTTCTCTACCCTGAAAGCCAACCCTTCAGGAAAGAACACATTCAGGTCTTCCTCAGATTCCCATCTATTACATAGTGTAGGAAAAAATGCATTGCACATAGGAAGCAGGCACTCAAAACTATTTTAACTGAACATGAATTCATAAAGTATCATAAAATATACTTCACCTTGAAGTGTCTGCATCATTTCTAGAAGTACAGGAGTAAGAGTCTGATTATATTCATGGAATATATCTATAAATAGTACTTCAGTGCAAGGCTGGAGAGGAAAGAAACCAATTTTCTAGTGAAAACAATGGTCTATTGTACTGATCAATTCTACAATAAAGCAAAGAATACTCATTCTTAAAATCATAAAACTCCAAAAATGTTTCCAATTCTTGATGTTTTTACATAAAGTAGATTACAATTATTGTAGATACACTGGGAAAGAAAATCAAATTATAATTCGATTCCTAAGACACAGAAAGTATATTTTACTATTTCAATCATTTGGCATTAGGCATTCAAAAAGTAAAACTCCAGAGAGAAAATAACTTATTTTTAATTAACAGTTTTTTAAATTAAAAAAAAAGCAATCTAAAGCCACATTCATTTGCAGATTCAGTACTATAAATGACTATGCAGGAACTAATTCGTTAAAAATTATGTATTTTTCTTAGCAATGACACAATAAGTAACAACTGCAACTCAGGAATTCAATTCACCACAGAGAACAGTATTTCTTTTTTTTTTTTTTAATTAACATATAATGTATTATTTGTTTCAGGGGTACAGGTCTGTGATTCATGAGTCTTACACAATTCACAGCGCTCACCATAGCACACACACCCCCTCCATGTCCATCACCTAGCCACCCCATCCTTCCCGCCACCAGAATAGTATTTCTTTTAACAGACACAAACAGTAACAGAAGTCAGTGTTAGCTACATAATAAGAATGATTCATTTTGGTTCTTAAAAGTACCAAACCATCACATTAATACAAAGGAATTATGAATTTTGAAGGTACCATGCTTTATGTTTTAAAACAAATCTTACACACATACTGAAATATGTATAGATGAAATGATACGTCACCTCAAACACTTGCTTCAAAATAATCCAAGTTGGGGTTGGGAGGTACTCATATGAAATAAGATTAGCCATGAGTCAGTAACTGATAAACGTGGGTTTTGGAATATACAAGGGCTCATGATATTACTCTATTTTTTAATATGTTTGAAATTTTCCATAGAACAAAGTTTTTAAAAATTAAAGCAGTTAATTTTTTAAAAAAATTTAAAGCACTAATAATTTCTCTAACTCTCTCTCTGGTTTTCTATGTAAGCTTACAAAACTAAAAACATTTACATTCTTAGAAAAATAATAATAGTGTAAATTATGTAAATACAACTTTTCACACAAAAAAATAGTTAAAAGACTACATTTGATTAATTTTCCTCAAATGTTGGCCATATCAAAAAAATGTGTGCTTAGAAAAGCATTCTAGAAAGCATTCTAAAGGGGCGCCTAGGTGGCTCAGTTGTTAAGTGTCTGCCTTCAGCTCAGGTCATGATCCCAGGTCCTAGGATCGAGCGCTGCATCAAGTTCCCCACTCCGTGGGAAGCCTGCTTCTCCCCCCTCTCCCACTCCCCTTGCTTGTGTTCCCTCTCTCGCTTTGTCTCTCTCTGTCAAACAAATAAATAAAATCTTAAAAAAAAAAAGCAAGCAAGCAAGCATTCTAAAATTAAAAGCAGTGGGCTGGTCTCTGAGAATCACATTTGGTGGTACAAGAAATAACATATCAAAAAAAGCCTCAAAATTACTGAAATACTTTGAGGGGGGTGGGGTGGGAATCATTCTAGCCAAAGAGAAGTAGTATTCATTTTCAAAAACATTTCCTATTTCTGCATTGACAATTACTTTTCCATCAATGTGACTGCAAAATGCAGAAAAATTCAGTTTGCAAACCCCTAACTGAACAACAAAAATTTAGCTTAAAGTTCATAATTTAATTAAGTACTTTCTTCTCAGGTACAGATTCCTACAATTATAGTTTCCTATTTGTCTGGTTTAATGCTTGGAATCTCCAACAAAATATCATTCTCTACTAAGAGTTACAGAAGCATTAAGCATTTCCCTATCAATTTTTTTTCAATCAATACTTACCCTCAAACTGTATTTCCAAGAATCTCCTCCTGTTTCTTCCACTGCTGCAATTAAAAATACGACAAATGATGCTCACCATGAAATAATGGTGTTTCCAAAGTCTCATTTTGGAATACAAAGATTTTAAATAATGTCAGTCTATTTCCAGGAATGGTTTTAAACATAACACTGAAAGCAAATCCTTGGGAACACAAGGCCTTACACAGATCTCTTTACAATACACTATAGATCACATCTGTGTATGGGAGTCTCCCATCAAGTGCTTACATAAGCATTCTCACTTTCATTAAAAATTCTCTATTAAGGAAAGCTCAAAGGGCTTTGTCACTTCCAGAGTAAGTAATATCACCTGACTTGCACACAGTAAGCACTCGAATATAACTATAATCCTGAGATTATTTGATTTCAATAGAACAACGTTTTATAAGTTAAAATAATTAGTAACATTTTCAAAAATGTTCTATATTTAAATTTTTTAAAAAAGTAAAATACTTCAGGGACTTTTACAAAGCTAGGAATTCAGTGTTTCATATTATACTATTACATCCACTATCACTTCTCGGCCTTTTGGCTAAGATCAAGTGTATACTATTACATCCACTGCATAAAGAAAGCAATATGAAACTTAAGATTTTAGCTAAGAGAAAAAGCAAAAACAAAATAGGATACATATAGTGTAATGCTGTATTCCCTAAATGAACTAAAAGTATTTTTAAATAACAAAAAGAGGGAGACGACAAGTCTTCCAAAATATCTGAGGCATTCTTAAAATCTTAGGAAATATATGAACAGAACTACACAAAGTCACCCAGTCAAAGGGATGAGGAGAGCCTAACATCTAGCCTATGTCTGAGGACGGCTTAAGTAATTTGCACACACGCACTTTATTCACACAAAGGTACTTTACTAGACACATAATTTCTTGATTTTCTGTAGCAAGGACCTTGCTACTTTTATTCTATTATTAAAATTCAAACAGATAAAAAAGATCTCCCAGAAAAACATTTTAATCATCAAAAAATTCATCTTAAAATTAAAATTTAAGTAGGTGATCTATTCAGCAATTCAGTAATTTTCCAAATTTCTTTTTGAAATAAAAATGTCTACTAATAAAAAATAAGATGGAATGAATCACAAAGTACAAACTGACCTGATAACAGAGACAGGTAGTTTATTTTATACTTTTATTTTAAACTATATCGTATGTTCATAGGAACATCTAAAAATTTTTAAAGGTATCTTTCTGGAGAAAACTCCATATATTTGAAAAAATCATTCATTTTCTGCTTCTCAATTTGTTCTAACAGATAACAAACTTTTAAAAGCCAAGATTCTCAGATCAGAAGTGCTGTATTAAAACACAATGTTGTTATGCCTATCATTCAAATAGATGATACATATTTAGGGAAGGAGGAGAAAAGCCAGGCGAAACTGAAAAACTGATTCTTACTAAAGCCTTCTGGGTCTTCTTCCCACATTGTCAGTTCCTCTTCCGTTAGCAGAAAATAATGAGAGACTAATCTTCTACATATCTCTGTCAAAGTGGGATATGTGAAGAATGCCATCTTAATCTTATGAGCTTCTAGAGTTTCAGGGCTGCTATCTAGAAAAATAAAATTTCCAAGTTAATCATACAAAGATTCTACCAAAGTTGGATTATGTAACTTCAATAAATTTAAAAATACACTCTTGGGGGAGAAGATAAAGTGGTGTATAAATTCTCATTTTTCTTAAGGGCAAATTCCAAAGAAATTTCTTTATTCACACCATACACATCAGTCTTGCCGCTGTCCTCCCACTACAGCCTGTACATCCCCGTGCTATATTATCACACCATATTGGAGTGACTTAGATACATATGTCTTTCTCTCTCCTACAAGAACTCCTCATTCACCTTGGTATACATGCACTTGAATGCAATCCAATGTCTAGAAGTAACCTCACTAAAGTCAGAGAAAAATTTTAATTGTACAAATAAATTCAGCTTACGACATGTACTGCAGTGGTTATTGGAGTACTTAATTCTTAAAAGTCCCAAGGCTTCAACTGACCTTTTATTGTGCTACAGAAGATAGTTTACTAAATGCATTATATGGCTTTTAAAGCTGGCACTCACATATTAAAGTCTCTAATCCTTATCTCTATTTCATGTCCAAGCAACATTTTATTTTTCACACTTAAATAAATGAATTTCAAATACATAAAAATAGCAATTACTTCACATTTGAAATAATGGGAGAAAAAACTGCCAGTAAGGCATTACCTTCAAAATTTTTGGATGGCTTATAAGCATAATTTTTAACAATCATCTTAATAAGATTCATGCATTGAACAATGAATCGTTCGAACGTAACGCCTTCACCAACTTCCGTAAATACATAGCTTACAGAAAATTCCAGTGATCTCTGAATTAGAGGAGTAAATGAAAACGGATGCTGATCCAAGAAGTCCAAAAGCTATAAAGAAGAAAATTAAAATGTATTTTCTCCAAGTTCATATAGGAATATAATCATCCATAAGTACATCTTATAACTTTGCTAATATACATCTGGCAAGACTTGAACCTTGGTGGAGAATCTACATACGTGTAGTTTTCCATGTAATACACGTGCAACTGATTTCATGGGATACATCCTATAATGTGGGTTATGTCAGATTGTATCTCATGACAAGAAATTTCTATTATTTCTAGTCCAGGGTCCAAAATAGACTCACTTCATACTTAATTCAGTAACAATGGGTAAATCTGAAACAGAAAGTGTGTACACAAAAGACAGGACTTTAAAAAGTAATAAAGGCAAAAAGTGAAACTACATTTCAATTATCAGTTGATGAGGTAGATTTCCTCTTTACGAAAGAATTCTGGCTAATAAATGCCAACAAAATAATAGAATGCCATCATTCTGTAACCCCTTATCGAACAACAGATGTAGGCATGATCATTAATAGCTTCTAAAATAATCAACAGGGAAAGGCTGCTGAGGAACTTTATAACAGATAGCTCTCCCTCAGCACTGAAGACAGACACTGTATCTCCTGATGTGATGCAATACAAAATACACAATACTCTTGTAAAGCACTCTTGCCATCCTTGCCCTCCTCCACAAAATAAAGTCTGAATATGACCAAGCCTCTATATCTAACTACAAATTTGTAAGAGATATGGGAAGAGGAAGGGTATAGAGACAAAGGAACATGGTAAGTAACACAACAGGATGGAGAGCCAAATGCAAACAGGAAAAACCCTAGAAGGAAATTATCTATTACCTCGACAAATAGAGAGCAACAACAACAAAAAAAGAGAACTGACACTACTAAATCCCAATTCCAACAAAACAACTATAAAAATTGAGAAAAATCTAAAAACTGGCTAAATAGAGGATAATAAAGTCATTCCTACTTTTTAAATGTGTTAGATCGGTTACTTTAAACCCCTAATCACTTAAAGATATATATTCAAATATTTATAGATAATACTAATAGGATATCTGAGATTTGCTTTTTAAAAACCAGCAAGGAAGGGAGGGAGAAGAAGTATCCAGATAAAACAGCCAACTTTCAGCATATGTTGATAATTCCTGAAGCTAAGTGATGACTTCAAGGGGACTCGAAGATGTTTGAAATGTTCCAATTTGTAAAGCTTTAATAAAGCCAGACATTATAAATGTGAATTTCATAAATGAAATTATTTATGAACACTGCACAGATCCACTGACTAACCACATCATGGCATTTTACTTTGCTTTGTGTTTTTTGGTTTTTAACTTAAAATACCTGAGTCAATTTCCTGCTGGCTCTTGGAAGATTAGGTAGGCTTTTGCTGTTGAGGCTATTTAGAACCTAACTGTGGGAAATAAGAATTGAAACTAAAGGTACTGCAACTTAACCAAAGATATAAGAACAGCTCATCTCTACTCCTTTTCTCCACTCCCAGGGGAACAGACAACCTTAATCCTATTAATGAAGCTTCAGGAAAAAAAGGGAAACTAGGCTACAAGTTTAGATGCAGCTACCTGTCTTCAACGACCGGTTTTAGCACAATGCAGTCCTCAAACCAGGTCTTCCCAACTCTATGTACTTCTCTCAACCATCCCCAGGCCAAAATTTCATAAAAATCAGTCTCTATAAAACTTTGTTTTAACAGAAATTTATACACATTGCCTAGCACAAGTGCACCCATATAATTCTATTCAAAAGATGTTTCACATTGACGATGATAATCTGTCATTCTGAATACAGTGACTTCCTGATATTACACTGCCTGTTACATACGACCTAGTTCCTGCTCAGCTGCAACTGGTACCTTCTTTATCTCTGCTTTTATCCAGTAAGCTTGAGAATAAGAAACTTCAGAGGAATGAACGTCTCTAATATTAGGATTTTTTTTTTTACAATAAAGTGACTTATAACTGATATATGGCATATAAATTTAATTATTACATGCATGCTAAATACTTCAAAATACAGGTTTTTTAACTTTGCTATAAACAGTCAGAAAATAAGTTACTTCCCATTAAAGAATGTACGCTCACATCATTCTCCTTCTTAAATCTGAGTATGTGTATTTTATTTAAGAAAACATACTTAAAACAAGAAAACTTACCACTTTAGTAAAAAGAATGATGGTCTTTTCCAATCTATCTCTACATACGTTATCTGTACCTATATTTCTACCTGTTAAAAATACAATTCAAATATTAGTACAAGTTTATAATACTCCATTAATTCACAATCAAAACAATGACAAAACTTTTCACAAAAATATATAATTTTGTACGTTTTGCATTATAAATTCATTACTGTGCTTTCCCAACTCTAAAAAATTAATCATCAAGTTTTTTAAAAGATTTACACTTAACAAAGTAATCCCCAGTACCATGTTTCACAAAATTAATCCTCAAATACAAACTGAGCTCATGTTCAAGTAAAAGGGAAGTAGCAATTTTATCCATGAATTACCAATCACATTTTCAAAATCTAAATTAGTTATAGTTGAAATTTACAAGCAAAATAGGTAAAAACAAAGCATTCAAAGAGTAACATACTCATTATTTTTCCTGCATTTTCTGACCATTTTCTTCAGATAATTTCCCTGGCATAATTAATTAATTTTGTACATTCAGAATAGTGTCCACCAGCCCATCAACTACTCTCTATAATCATACCCTTCTGAATCATCTCATCATTTACATCATTCTCCCCTCCTGGGAGGACTCCTATTCTTCCCTTTCCTTCTCCACATGGTGACCAGAGAAAATGACCATTTTCATAAAAGTAAAATACCTAATATAAGTTGTCTTATTCATCTTTGCATGTACAGTACCCAGAACAATGCCTGGCAAAAGACTCAACATTGTTTTTACTAAGCTGAAAACGACTGACATGAAACAATCAGCAACTCCCTAAAAATGAGTTCAGTAAAATATCTTCTCAGACTATTAAGTCCCCAAGTACACATGCACGTAAATGTACACAAACACACACAGGATGTACACGTGTATGTGCGCATGCAAGCACATGTGTGTGTATTCTGTGTTTGTAGGTGTGTATGTTGAGTAAAGCTGCTTACAATCACAGGGAAAAGGATAACAAACAGACCATGAGTATAATATAACACAAATATAAATGCTAAATTCTCTTGTGTGTAGTGGATGAGAGAAGGCCCTAAAGATAAGCCAGTGAAGATTAATATACAAGGGATTTACAAAATTAAAGTACCATTTAAGGTAATTTATATCATACCCACATGTAAAATGAACTAAAAAAGACAGAACCTATACAAAGTCTAAGGAGCATGTGGTGCAGGAGCTACATTTAATGAGCATTAAAGACATGACTGCTGTGGATATATGCATGGAAAAGAGCAGTAGCAGTAAAAATATCTACAGAGAAAAAGGACACAAAACAGATTTAAAAAAAAAAAGTTTCCGCAATACTCAGGACAAGACAGGTGTATGAAGACAAAGTGAGCTCCCACTGCAACCTCAGAGGATTGATGATCAAGATGCAAGAGGTTAGCCTCTTCAGATACGCAAGCAGAGCACAAGCTATGAATAAGGATTCTACAAGTAAAATCTACTGTCAAAGGAGTACTTACTGCATTCCAGAAATTGCTTCAGACGGTCAAATATTCCATGTAAAAAACCCTAGAAAAAAGTTTTTTTAAGGTCTCAATTTATTGTTGTAAACAGCTCCCTTATACTTTTTCAAAAATACTAAAATGTATCTATCACATCATTTTAAAAAGTTAAAATGAGAAAATAAAAAATACTATTATTAACAAATCTTCCATTAGAAAATACAGTATTTCATCTCTTCAATGTTTCATTTCAGTTACCTAAATCACTTTGCAATAAATAAAACATTATTTAAGCATTCTGTTTAACTAATCTCTATTCTCCTCACTGATTTTCTTCTTCACAGCTCTTATAATCCCCTGGCATACTGTCTGTCTATTACCTGTCTGCTCCCACTAGAATGTATACTCCCTAAGAGCCAGAAATTCACTATGTTTATCACTCTATCCCAGAATCCAGGAACAGTATTTGAGAATAGTAAGTACTCAGTATATGAATAAATGGTACTAATTATTTAAAGTAGAAGTTCTTAAGCCCAAGTATTAAATTTATTAGCTTCAGATAAAAGAGAAAACAAGTGTCATCAATTATGATCTGGTAAAAATCTAAACGACCCTTATTTGTTAATATGTATTTTAAGAAAGGTTATAAAAATTTTACAGATATAAAGGGATAGTGAAAAACAACTTAATTAAAATTTTTAAAAATTTAAACATCACAGACTTTTTAGATCAAAAAATTTTGGTGTATAAAAGATGTCACATGCTCTTTCAACAAATAGGATAGTCCAGGTTTTTGCACAAAATAACTACATGGTGAAGGCCATCCTGATGAATGACTAACTAGAATAGTGTTATTTCCTCTTTGTCCTTAGGCATATGTTGTCCACTCATCCATTCTTGAGTTTGAGACAATTCAACTAGGATATCATCATCTGATGACTCAGAAATAGATTTCATTAGACAATTTCACCATCATTATCAGGGCCTAGAATGCTGCTCTCAGTCTGTCTGAGAGCATCCATCTTCTGATTCAGATAAAAATTATGAAACCTCTTCCTCTTGTCAATTTTCTTCTCTGCCATTTAGGGCAGAAAATGAAGAGTTCTGAATTCTCAGTGTGTTAAACAAAAGCTGAAAGTAGAATAAAAATGATAGTGCTTCCAGTCTTCTTTATTCCTTCTTAAAGATGATGGAATACAGTGCACAACCCAATAAAGAAACTGAAAGATGACAGTTTCACTACTACTTCATCCTTCTGGCAATTCCATCATCTTACATTTGACACTATTTCAGTCTTTTTAACCACAGTTGAGAATAATTGAAAAGTAATGATAACTAACAAAAAAATAATTCCTAGGATGATGAAAGAGCAAAATGTTTCATTATAGGAAGAATAAGATCATTGAGATCCTATATGTATTTTAAATTTATACAGTAGTCCAATGGTCCCTTAAAGAAAGGACAACGTAGGGGCGCCTGGGTGGCTCAGTCGTTAAGTGTCTGCCTTCGGCTCAGGTCATGATCCCAGGGTCCTGTGACCGAGCCCCACATCGGGCTCCCTGCTCAGTAGGGAGCCTGCTTCTCCCTCTCCCACTCCTCCTGCTTGTGTTCCCTCTCTCACTATGTCTCTATCTGTCAAATAAAATCTTAAAAAAAAAAGTAATAACAACGTAGAAAGAATTTTACTCTATTTCTTTTAAATAATACTAGTTTATCAATCGGGGTTCTCTGAAGAAAGTAGAAAATTATAAAAGTCATCAAGTTTAGTAAGCTAAATGACTGAATTCTTGATTCAAAAGAATCAAGAATTTATAGAATTATAGACAGCTAACTAATCTGCAGGCCAAATAAACTAAGTTACAGTTTATGATTATGTTATATAATTATACAATAACTCAAATTAACCATTAAATGGTCATTTATAGAGCACTTTAATTAGCTGAACAATTTACAAAAACTCATTATCTCCCTTAATCCTCACAACATCCAGTGAGGTAGGTATACTATTATTTCATCTTCATATTATAGACAAAAAAAAAAAAACTGAGTATGAGGGTAGGTAAGTAAACAGCTGGAGGCCATGCTATCAGGAAAAGGCCAAGTCAAGATTCAAATCCAAATCTATTTGCCTCCAGAAACCAAAATCTCACCATTATCATACAGCGCTTCTAAAGCATCTTTTAAGTTCCATGTTATTTTTAAGATCTTTATGTTACCTGAAAAACCGCCCTTAACTTGTTAAAATTCTATTTTGTTTCCAACAAGTCAATATACCTTAACTGCTACAAAACAGCATTTTAACTGAGTAAAAGTGGACATACAGTTTCAGTAGACAGAAGAAAGACTCTCAAGGGAAAGCCAAAAGCTCACAGAACATTGACAGTTTCCACTGAAAACCACTATTCCACTTTATAGGAATGTGATTCAAATCAATTTATTTTTACTAAAAAAACAAAACACCAATGAACACAATCAATATTTTAGTTACATAATTTTATGATATTCAGAATCATACTGCATATAAAAATAATTACTGAGCCTTCTGACCTGTTTTTTTTTTTTTTTAAGGTTTATTTATTTATTTGACAGAGAGAGAGAGACAGCAAGAGAGGAAACACAAGCAGAGGGAGTGGGAGAGGGAGAAGCAGGCTTCCCGCTGAGCAAGGAGCCTGATGCGGGGCTCGATCCCACCTGGGATCACAACCCGAGCCAAAGGCAGACGCTTAACAACTGAGCCACCCAGGCGCCCCTGACCTACTGTTTCTACTCTATCACATATTCATTCATTTTACAAATAACTACTGAGCATTTACTATTGGCAGAAACTATTCCAAGCTCTGGGATGGACAGTGAATCAAATAGTCTCTGCCTTTATGCAACTTAACGCATTACAGTGCAGGAATTTAGGAGAAGCTGTCTCATTGGTTTCTGGAAGTGTTTTATGGCACTATGGCAATAAATATAAATATTTAAAATGTATCAGCATTAAAATTATGGCTGGTTTTTTTTCACATATTTTGGCAATTTGACAATATCAATCAATTCTATCAATGTGCCTATACTTGAATCAACCATTTCCACTTCTAGTAATTTATCCTGAAGAGTGCATCAGAAAAGTACACAAGGACATATATACCCAAATGTTCATTCCAACATCACCGACCAACAATTAAAAACTGGAAACAACCTATATATCCATCAGTGGATAACTAGGAATTTTCTTTTTTGTTAGTTATCATTACTTTTCAATGCGTAAATGAGTCCCTTAAATACTGTATTTAAATCCTAGCTCCAATGGATAACTGGGCAGGTAAATTATAGGAATCCTATATTAATGTTAACACTTTTTAAAGATTAGCTCACTGACAGTAATCACATGGGTTTACCATAGAATCATTAAAAACATAACATAAATTACTGACATGAGAAAAATACCCATGAGAAAAAATGACATATAAGTTTAAGAAAAAGCAAGTCAAGAAACAGAGCATGGGTCCCATTTACATAAAACTGAGGAAGAGAGAAAAGAATATCTGAAAGACTATGCATAAAATGTCTTAAAGTATACTTACAAATTTTAGCAATATCTTTGATACCAAGTTTTCAAGTGAGTTTTTATTTCCTTTCCTTCTGTGTTTAACTTTTAAAAAAATAAGCATGTAACACTTTTATAGAACAAAACAGCCATCACACTATAATGATGCATATCACCAGCTTTTAAATTCTTTTAACAGTGGAATCATTATTGCAATCAAAATCTTACTGACAGGCACAGTATACTAAAGATTTAAAACAGAGTAACTCTGGTCAAATCTGGTAGGGCAGACCCAAAGACCCAATGAGATGTACTTTTTTCACAATTCTGTTCAACATCCCCAAAGTGGACCTAGAAATGTAATAATAGCATTCAAATTCAAGAAGTTCACCCCAATTCAAATTATAAAGAACACTCTCAATGTATTATGGCACTTGAGAATTGCCCTAGGCTTATTTCCTCCCCTTCATGAATGAGCTGCTTTGATATACTGAAAAAAAAAAAAAGGCTGTAAGTCTAAAAAGTATAGTGTAACACATACAAAATGGTAAAAGGTCACTTAATAAAAACTTGTAAATGAATGCCAAGTAAAAAGAATAAGCTTTAAAACATTCAGGAAAATACCAAGCACTTTCCCAAAGCCACAAAGAATCAGTAACTACTTTCACTTACCATCACCTCCATATTCTTATGAGGTTCCACAAATCCATTAACAGTTAATTTACGCAGCACTGAAAAGTAAAATTGAGCTTTATTGCACTAAATGCCTCATATCTTATCCTATTAAAATCATAATCATAACAAAGACTCAGAATCACAAAGCCTCATCAAGACTGGGGGTTACTCTAACTTCATCCTTTCATATAATAGATAAAGAAAGGTAATCCCTGATCATTGGTTTGTTTCCAAGTAGGAAAGATGGAATGACAGTCAAGTCCTTGTGACTCAAAAGCTGTGTTCTTGAGAGTCTGGACCAGAGGCTGACCTCGGGATCTGACAAGATGGCCGGGCTGCCCCACAGGATTATCAAGGAAACCCAGCGTTTGCTGGCAGAACCAGTTCCTGGCATTAAAGGCAGAACCAGATGAGAGCAATGCCCATTATTTTCATGTGGTCACTGCTGGCCCCCAGGACTCCCCCTTTGAGGGAGGGACTTTTAAGCCTGAACTATTCCTACAAGAAGAATACCTGATGGCAGCCCCTGAAGTATGTTATGAAACCAAAATTTATCATCCTAATGTAGACAAGTGGAGAAGAGTATGTTTAGGTATTTTGAAAGATAAGGGGTCCCCAGCACTGCAGATCCGCACAGTTCTGCTACTGATCCAGGCTTTGTTAAGTGCTCGCAATCCAGCTGATCATTAGCAAATGATGCAGCGGAGCAGTGGAAGACCAACGAAGCCCAAACCATGCAAACAGCTAGAGCATGGACTAGGCTATATGCCATGAATAATATTTAAAATTGATCTGATCATCAAGTGTGCATCACTTCTTCTGTTCTGCCAAGACTCCTTCCTTTTTTGTTTGCATTTAATGGACACAGTCTTAGAAACATTACAGCAAAAAGCCCAGACATCTTCAGTCCTTTGGTGATTAAACGCACATTAGCAAATCTACGCCTTGTCCTGATTCACTGTTGTAAAGCATGAGCAGAGGTTAGAAGTACCATCTGGATTGTTGTGAAACGTTTAAAAGCAGTGGCCCTTCTCAGCTTTTATTCATTTTCCCCCATCATGGCTTGAGTATAAAGCACTGTGAATGAAGGTAGTTGTCAGGGTTAGCTGCAGGGGTGTGGGTGTTTTTCTTTGTTACTTTTTTTGAGGGGGAGAGGTAGTTTTATTTTAATTTTATGGGCTCCTTTCCCCCTTTTTATGGTGATCTAATTGCACTGGTTAAAAGCAGCTAACCAGTTCTTTAGACTATGCTCTCTAGCCAAGTCTAACTTCATTTAGATGCTGTAGATGGACAAGCTTGATTGTTTGAACCAAAATGGGAACATTAAACAAACATCACAGCCCTCACTAATAACATTGTGACTTTGCTGTCAAGTGTAGAATCCTTCCTTCAAGAAAAAGCTTATGACCATTTTGCATGGCTTGTCTGGAAACTTCTGTAAATCTTATGTTTTAGTAAAATATTTTTTGTTATTCTAAAAAAAAAAAAAAAGCTGTGTTCTTCTCACATATCTTAACCACTTATGTTTCTAAAACTATATTGCAAAACTTAATTTAATTGCTACAACTGTTAGTACTTCTCACCTGCAAAAACCCCTATAAGTTGAAACTGAGAAAGTTATCTCTCTATTCCATAACCATGAAATATGTCTCAACAGTGATCAAAGAGCTTCATTTAGTTTTAGACTACATTAATGAAAATATAGTATCTCCTATAAAGGATATAAAAGCTGAACTATTTCTAAATCTGAAATAGACTACAGCGCTCAAGTATAAACAAACATCACATTTTATGAGTAACTGGTATACACAGGGAGACAAGTAGGATAAACGATTGAAGTCAGATCTATATTTAACTCCCAGCTCCAATGTTTACAGCTGTATTATTTTGGACAACTTTTCTAGATCTCACATTCTTTGTCTGTAAACTGTGTTAGTAAGTCCTACTTCATCAGGTTATTAAAGGATTCAATAGTATAATATATGTAAAACAGCACGAATCAGAAATACAAAGATGGCAGCAACAGAGACTATAAAATTCAAAGTCACATCACTTTAAGAAAACGTTACAGATAGCACTGCTATCTCTGTAACTGAGAGTGAGGGTTCATGACGTGAAGCTCAAAGGCAGTATACTAAGAACAGGTTTAGAAGGAGGTAATGGTGGAAAAAAAAAGAAGTTTAGAACGCAACTGTCTACAAAACTATCAAACTACAATTATATGCAACTCAAAAGTTACTCATCTCATAGGAGAAAATAGGATTCAAATTGAGTCCCTTATTCTGGCTTCATTCATTCCCACAAAAGTACTTGCTCCACATTACCTGGGACAGTCCTTTCTTTCCCCCTTCATCACTTGGTTAACGTCTACTTACCCTACGATGATGCTGATTCAAACATCACTTTCTCAGGAAGTCCTTTCTGACCACATTGTCAGTTACCATAATATTTTAAGACCACTGTCACGTGTCATTTTACATATATTTGTGTAACCATTTTATTATGTCCATCTAGTGTCAAACACCTAACCACAAATTTACTGAAATAATGAATATATATATGCACGCCTAAGTGCACACAGGTATAGACTCAGATTACATATAACAAAAACTGAAGTCTTAAGTTTTGCTCAAGTCATAGAAATTTACAGCTGGGCAGAACAAATATTTTAAAAGGAAATGCTATGGGATTTTTCCAGGTCAAGATATCTTCGAAATGCTACAGTGTACCTAAGACCCTGAGACAAGGAAATATTGAAAAGCTAAAATCAGGCTAATGTAGATTAGTGCTGCATCCGTTTTGTCAGAGTTACTCTTTGAAATCAGTAAGGTAAGAAAACCACAATCAAAAGCACTAGTGAAAATTCCTTAATCATTAAATACTTACTAAAGAACTTACACAAGTCTTGTACACATAACCTTACACCAGTTTCTCTAATTCTTTCTGGATAAATGTTTATCTCTAAATCCTTTTAAATTTCTTCCTCAAGGATGTTGACAAAACCATCTCCACTCACTTATACAACCAACCACCTGTACAATGAATTTTACTTGTCAGCAGTCCCTTAAAATCATTCACGCTTTTGTCTACAAGGTTCACCAAAATGTGCTGACAGTTTGAAGTCTGTGCATCCACTGTCTAATCAATGTTAAGTGATGCACGAGAGCAGTGCCAAGAGTGTACAGCGGCATCCTACGGTACTAAGAGGAGTATGACAAAAGGGCTTAGAAGTAAAGCCAAAGGATGCAAAATGAGCCACAGTAAGAGCACTAAAGGCTGCTTGAGATCAAACTAAGAAACACAAACTAATAAAAAGCCTAAGCACCAGAAGAGAAAGATTGGAAGACAAAGAGAATGAGCCAAGCATGAGTGTTCTGTAAAGGAAAGGAATCTCAGAATACATTTGTCAAGGTAACCAGCTCGGGGAAGACCAAATAGAAATTTATGCTAAGAGATACCTACAAGCAAAGCATAGGAAAACACAGGCTAAGATGGCATGCCATCGAGCACCTTCTAAAGTCCAAGCGAGCCTGATGTAAAAACAAGAAAGACAGAAGCTGAGTTCTCATGGAAAACAGACCTGGGAGACAGAGCTGAACGAACACTTGAGGACTGAAGGGTAGTGAAGTGAGCACAGCAATGATAAGGGTAGGAGCCCAGAAAGGGAAGTGTAAAGTAGAGCAAAAAAAAAAAAAAAAAAAAAAAGTGAGTAGAATTTGAAAGGAACATATTCAGAGCCCCAAGACCCCAGAAATGTGACTATAACATAAAACTATCCCACACTTTTATCCCACAAATTCCTTGAGCAAAGGCTATTCTCACTAACGGAAAACCAACCACAAATAAGGCCTTGTATGTGAGGGAGAGACTAACCACATACACTCCCAAGGCAAGTGAGAGCAGATAATCCATCAAAGGAACTATTTGTTGATTCTTCTGAGGTATGTCATTTCCAAAACTGAACGTATCAAGTTTAATAGTACCTTTCAATGACAGCAGAGTTCGTTCTAGTGAACTCAGAACTGCAGCTTCACCGCCAGAAGAAACATGTTGAAGGAATGTGTCTGTATGGTGATTCCACAGAGAGCAGGCAAAATTATAAATTCCAGAAGCTAACTGCAAAGAAATACCAACAAATTTGTTCATAAAAAACACAGATTTCAGTAATCAATGAGATCTACAGAGTAATACATTTCAGCTTTTAGGTCAGTTTTTAATTACAGTTTTAATGTCATTTTCAGTGAGATGTGAAATAGTTAAGTCATTTACCACGTTTCAAACTTTTTAAGACAGAACGTACAGTATCAAGGACCGTTTCTGTTGCTGCTGTGAACACACATATACACACCTAAAATATCCGTTTTTCTTGAAAACAGTACTTAAATCTAATGCCTGCACTACAGTCTGACATTTTCTATTTATACCTTTTTTCTTCCACTAATATGCAACACTCAGTTTTTAAAACAGTGACAGACTGTCATTGAGTATAATATATAAAACAATATACTAAGAAATACAAAAGAATCAAATTTGTGATCTGCCGGTTCTACCCATTATGGTTTTAGGGCATTTAAAGCAGGAACATACAAACCACAATGCTTGTCAGGCTGATTTCCTAATAGGTACTGATATTTACAAACCTCACTTTCACACTGGGATGCAGTTGGCCTCTGCACCCAGGTTGAGGCAGAACCATTTCCAGGGGGATCTTCAGCTTTTTTTGTTTGTTTTTCCAGAAGGTCTAAGAGCAATCCAGCTGAGTCTACATGGCCATTCAATTTAAATGAAAATGATATGAAAGTACACATGAATGACTAGTTATCATTAGCATACTCTAGAATGCTTTTTCTTACTCCAGATAAAAGTATATCATCTCCACTAAACACTGGATTTATATTAATTTTAGGCATCAGAAACCAGTCAGAAATGCAATCCTATAAATAAAATAAAACTTCTATGAAAAAAATCCCATTTCTATTATTTTAATTCAATAATTTTCATGGCCTGTGCTTACAGGTGTAGGAAAAGAGCTTTGCCAAATCCCCCTGGTGACTTTGCATGTATCTACATAGGCCACAAAGGCAAAGGCTTGAACACAACTAAGAGGAGTATCAGCAGAACTTATTACAATCCTCCTGGAAAACAAGAAATGGAAAGCTTGTAAGGAACTGCTACAAGACCATCTCCTGCTCACCTCCTCACTTCCTGGGTTCTGATGAGATATAAAGTTCTCTGACCCATCCCCTTCAAAATAGAGCTGCAGAATAAAAAACCACTTAGTTACGGTCTAGAAGAGCCTCCTTAGCAATGGGGGCATCCCACAATTTGCATCTGAGTCATTCAGTCCATATTGCTTTGGTCATTCTTTTTGGTATGTGGAACAAAAATCACAGGGAGTTGGTACCAATGTGCTTAATTTCTTTTCTCTGTCCAAAATAAGTAATAAACTGTCGGAATCTAAAAGGCCTCCTGTCTTCACTAACTGATCAGAGCTTTGGCTCTCCCTTATTTTGTGCATATGCTTAAAACAAGTACAATGACTACTTAATAAATAAATTCAGCATATTCTCAAATACACATGGAATATATTAGAAAGTAAAATCAAATTATTTAATCTTAATGTTTCATGATGGTCAAAATACAGCAGTGATAATTAGCTCAATACCATATTACAGCAAGCAGCAATATCATAAAAAGTTAAGGGTCTAAAATTGGTATCATCCTAGGAAACAATACTGTAACAGAGAAGCAAATACTCATTCTAATCAGAAGGGATATAATCTGAAGAAGAAGAAAAAAAAACACTTCAAAAAACGTGTAAGCTTTACTTAGGACTACAGTGAACTGCAGTATTTTTCTTAGTAAATCAAGTCCTTTCTGAGACTATGAGGTTAAAATACACATCTAGAAATGGAAAAATCCATCAACTTAATTTTTATTACACTTACTGGTAAATGTAAGTTAGAGCATCCTATACTTTTCCAAACATGTAAATCATCAAACTTTTGTCTGCCAGAATAAAGTGAAAGAACAGAAAGAGATTTAGAGGCAGGGAAGAAGTAGTCATGATACATAAGACCTAAAAGCAAAGTTTTAAACTACAGTATAATTCCTTATTGCAGCAAATATTTCAACAAAATAAACTGAAGTCTATAGCCCTGGCCATAGTTTTTAGACCCATTTTATACATATGTGTTAAATAAAATCTAAGGGGAGACATACCCCAATTTCAAATAAGAACAGAAAACTATTATACTCTAAAGCAGTCTCTTCCTTACAACTTACTTTCTAGCCCTCCTTTACATCTCCTCCTTAAAACTATTTGTTTCAGGGGCACCTGGGTGGCTGAGTCGGTTAAGCATCTGCCTTCGGCTCAGGTCATGACCCCGGGGTCCTAAGATGGAGCCCCACCATCAGACTCCCTGCTCAACTGAGGTGTAGAAAGGTTAAGTAACTTGCCCAAGAGCAAAGAGTATAAATAGCAAGAGGAAGAGAAAGGACTGAAACCAAGGAAGGTGCTCAGAGCTTACATTTTTAACCTCTATGTTCTAATGCCTCTTAATACAATATGTAGCAATTAACTACACGGTGATTTGGTAAAAGAAACAAACATTAGTTGTATAAATTCCGTTAAAACTTTTTAATACCAAAATACAAACACTAAGCAGATACTACCCTATACATTCAGAATCAATATAGTAAATCCTGTTCTCCAAAAGTTATGTAACAATTCAATAATGGTAGAATTTTCTTTTCCATAACAACAAAAAGGAAAACTGCCCCACACTCACCAAGATCAATACTGCTGCTAATATGGATGCAATAAACTGTGTGAATGAGAATCTCACCTAACAAATTCCGTTAAGTCTCAACCCTTTGTACAACACTCAGCAGAAAAACATGAACTTCTATTACTTACATGGAGTACCTATGCAAGACAGCTAATATAAATTGAACACTGTTCATATATAATCTTTGTATGTATATAAAATTTGGAGCAAGTCCCATTCATTAATCCTAAGAGTCACAGTGCCTTTCATCTAATTCTCAGTGTACTCCTCTAGCACTACATGCCAGACTCAATAAAGAAAACAATAGTAACCATTCCCTAGTTCCTTAATTAAAAAGTAAGATTAAGCTTGAGGAAAAAAGTTGACCAAATGGAATCTGACACCAGCTGAAGAAAAAAAACTTGTAAGGGATAATCTACCATCCTAAATCACCAGCATAACATAACTGAACTCAGGAGGTTCACCACTGGGGGTGCATCAAATACAACACAACCCAAGAAAGTACTGAAAGCAAAGAACTTTGTATTATTTGCTACAAATAAGGAGACAAGGAGATAGCTCTCAAAGCACTCTCTCTCAGTGAGGTTAGGATAGGAAACCTTTATTCAGTGTATCAGGGAGCTCACATAAGCACTCTGGTTCAACTGTGCTTGCCTAGCATATCAACATGTTTCCTAATGCATACGTCCTATGTATGAAAACTCTGCCCACAGGAGGAGACCTCAGAGTTATAATGAACTAAAGGTAACTTCAGGACAACTCAGTGGGGCTTCTGCACAGGTCCTCACTTCTAATCCAGCTCAAACTGACTCATGTAGGGGCTATCAGGGGAGATACACCTAGCAAGGGGCTCTCAAGTGAAACACGTAGTTGGTCCTCTCCTTGGCTAGAACTGTTGGTTCTGCAAGACAAAACACATTCCTTCCTTGCCTTTGTCCCTTCCCCTCCTTCCTTCTGCTGAGAGCTTTTGACTGCCTTATTTGGGACCTCTTCTGTGAGTAACTTCCTGCTGCATTCTAGCTAACAAAAAAACATGTCAGATTTATTTTCAAGGTATTTTAGGTATTTTACAATAACATTAGCAAAATGGCAAAACTACTTTAACTGTTATAATTTTTTCAGGCACTACTTCTGTTACCAGAATAACCCTTTACAGAGTTCTACCACCTGCATATGCACAATGTAAATTATAGTACACATACCCAACATAAAATCCTCCCCACTGACTCCCAACACAAAAAACAAAATAAACAAAATATACCACAGAACATCTGTGAACACTGCACCAAAGGTTCTTATTGTCACAAAAGTGAAGAAAAGGAAGTTTTTCATTATGGTGGAATCAAAGTCATTGTAATAAAATTCCATTTTGCTCCATAAAATCGTCCTCTTTTCCATTTATCATTTCACTCTAAAACATGTTTAAGAAAGTCCCATAATTCAGAGATGTTGCCATTTGCAACAACGTGGTATTATGGGTATTATGCTGAGCGAAATAAGTCAGAGAAAGACATGTATCATATGACCTCACTGATATGAGGAATTCTTAATCTCAGGAAACAAACTGAGGGTTGCTGGAGTAGTGGTGGGTGGGAGGGATGGGGTGGCTGGGTGAGAGACATTGGGGAGGGTATGTGCTATGGTGAGCGCTGTGAATTGTGCAAGACTGTTGAATCACAGACCTGTACCTCTGAAACAAATAATGCAACATATGTTAAGAAAAAAAAAGAAGATAGCAGGAGGGGAAGACTGAAGGGGGGGAATCGGAGGGGGAGATGAACCATGAGAGACGATGGACTCTGAAAAACAAACTGAGGGTTCTAGAGGGGAGGGGGTGGGGGGATGGGTTAGCCTGGTGATGGGTATTAAAGAGGGCACGTTCTGCGTGGAGCACTGGGTGTTATGCACAAACAATGAATCATGGAACACTACATCAAAAACTAATGATGTAATGTATGATGATTAACATAACAATAAAAATTTAAAGAATTTAAAAAAAAAGTCCCATAATTCAGATAATCAAAGGTTCTATCCATTCTACCTTAAGCAACTTTCAGCAATTTTTGAAATTTTCATCCCCATTTCTTAAAAAAAATAATGCCATAACAGTTACAGATATTAAGGGCAAAGTTAGATCTTTATTAATTCTTCCCGCTTGCTAGCCCTGGAAATTAATAGTATGAAAGTACCACTTTAATTAGTCATATAAATATGAAAAGCACCTAAGTAGCTTGGCAAATGGCAGGTATTGCTGAATGAAGGCATACAGCATTTTAGGCAAAAATCAAGAAAGAATCAGTAGTACTGCCGGAGGCAATTTTTAAT